TTCTTAACACTAAGGTTATAAGATGCCTTAGTGAGATTTTTCCTTCCTCATAGAAGTTACATTGTTACAGTTCCCCCTTATTATCTCAATCCTAGAAGGACTAAATACTTGGGAACTGAAAAGAAGCAAAAGCTCTTGGAAAATGAGTTTACATGTTGATGGCAATTACTATGATACACCAAACCTCTTTAAAAATCTTTTATATCAAAAGAAAGAAAACAGAATAAGGCTGATCAATTCTCATACATCTTGGTCTGGTTAATTAAAAGACCTTCAGAAGAAGGTAAAAGGCTGTTTGGGGATACTATTCTCAACACAGCATCTTTCCTAAGGGATAATCATATGAAAGTGTCTTTTCAGCATTTTAGATTCCCATATTTCCTGGCTAGCCACACTAGGTCTCCAGATGAAAGACATAGGAATGTTCAAGATTTTCACATTGTTGTGGAGTGTCAACTTCCATCTACCAAACTGTAAGCCAATGGACTTCACAAACAGATGAACTCAATGCGGTCCATGCACAAGGACAGTTCTGCTTTCACTTGTCATGACTAATATTTTATTGTAATATACTTCACATCTACTTTATCAGAGATTTCGAAACTTTTCTTCCTTATTCTCAAAAGAGACATTTTTACTTATCTTTTGAAGTATATCATTAAACATATATATATGTGTGTGTGTGTGTATATTATATACACACACATATATATAACAGGCCTATAATCTCAACATTTGAGAGGCTGAGCCAGAAGGATCTTGGAGTTCAAGGGTAGCCTGGGATACACAATGAGACCTTGTCTCAGAAAGCCAAACCACAACCAGACCAAACTAGACCAAACCAAACCAAACCAAAACACAGGTCCATTATGGAGCAGTTAAAAGGAAAATAAAGTAATATCCTCTTGTATTTCTTCAGGCTTTCAAACTTTTAAATTTGTATCCCGTTGAAGTTTTATATCCTCTGTAACTCCTGACATTTTACTTTGTATGTGAAGTTGATTTGTGGAATTTCTTAGAAATAAGTCACCACTATCAAGAACTCAGATAATCACAGGAAATGACATTACCTTTATTCCTCATACCTCACTTGCGTAGGAGATACTTTATTATTTTATTTACCATTTTTTGAAGGTTGGCTTGTTTTAAAATAGAAGGCTTAAGTTGACTTTTTTGGATTAAAGATTTACATATACTAAGGGGATCAAATAATTTTTATGAATGAACATGAAACATGACTTAAGGTTACCTTAATGTCTTTATCAAATGATAGCTATTTACAGTAAGAAAAAGTCATCTCATTGTTACTGGGATACCTTGTTGCTGCTAAGTATAAGAAATATGAGTGGAGATATGGCTCAGGTGGTAGAGTACCTGCCTAGCAAGCATAAGGCCTGAGTTCAATCCCCAGTATGGGGGCAGAGGATATGAGCTAGTATTAATACTAGCTACTTGAGACATAGAGATAGATGGATCTCCACTAGCTCTGAGCCAAAGCACAAAACCCTATCTGAAAGACAAACTAAAAGCAAAAAGACTGGGTCATGCCTCCCAGTGGTAGAGTACTTGCCTTACAAGTGGAAAGCTTTGCTTTTAATCCCTACTTCTGAAAAAAAAATAGCATATATAAAATCATACTTCTGCTAAGTTTCTCTGCACATCACTGATATTTTCAACTACATATTCCTGTGATAATTCTTCTTTTCACTGAATTTCTTGTTATCTGATAAGAAATTGCAGGTTTTCTGTAAGTTCCAAGGAAGATGAAGATGGTTTTAAACATAAAAGAAGTATTTTGAAACACATATTTTGACTTTCCTAAATTTATTGGGGACAGAAAGACTAAGGAAAGAGGGAGAAATTAAGCAAGTGCACTAAAAAGGGGTCCTATGCATATTTTGTCATTCTTCATACCTGTCAACTCACTGTTTGGTGGTGAGATAATTAGGCTGTTATTTACTTTCCCCATTTTGGCTTTAACAGTATGTGCCCATAGTTTTCCACCCTTCTATCAAAACCCGCTTTTTTTACATTTGCTTGGTAAACTTCTACATATCTCCATTCCTTTGAGTATTGCTGACTGGAATATACAATGGTGCTGATAGTATAGGGAACAGATTTGACAGAGTAAACAGAATCACCATATAATCCGATAATACAACTAACAGGAATATATAAAAAAAGAACTGAATGTAGGAATTCAATAGATATTTGTACATTCATGTTCAAAACATCTCATTATTCACAAATAGCCTGAAGGGGAAAACAACTCAAGTGTCTACCTGCCAATGAATAGATAAACAAAATTTGGTATGCTTGCAAGATGACATATTCATCCTTAAGAAGGAAATTCTGATTCATGTTTCAATATGGATGAACCTTAAGGACTTTATCCTCAGTGAAATAAGCCATACACAAAAGGCAGATACTACATGATTCTACTTGCGTATAGTATCTAGAGTGGTCAAATTCAGGAAAAGAGAGAAAACAGAACGGGGCACCAAGGGCTTAGAGGGAAGAACACAGAGTTTCAGCTTGAGAAGATTAAAATTTTTAGAGTAGGATAATTGTGATGGTTGTAAAATATGTAGATGTACATAATGCCACTGAATAATTTAAACAGTTTAAAATGGTGAGTTTTAGATTATCTATATTTTACCTCAAAAGCACAAACATAGCACAGCTATTCCCTCCAATGATGGGAAGCTCTTTTTTTTTCCTATCTAAGGTCATTTGGATATTTATAACATCATTTGAGGGTGATACAAAACCATCAATACAAGCAGATGGGCTGAGGGCAGCTAACAAGAATCGACGAGAAACACATGCATTTTTCTCATCATGTACCAAATAATTTCTTCTGTGTGTAGGTGGGGGAAGAGGGGTTGGGAAACAGCAGTAGCCATTCTAACTGCAGCAGTAGCAGCAGCAGCAGCAGCAGCAGCAGAGCCAGGCCTGATGACAATGGCAACAGCTTCAACAGCAGAGCCACCAGTGTTGGTAGTGTTGGTAGCAGTAACAGCAGACCTGGCAGTGGATGTAGAACTGACAGCAGTAGTGAGGACAGGTCAAAGAAGATCCTGATACCTGAGACCCAAGAGCTGTCATACTTGTTGCTTTAGGGCTGAAGTTCCCAGCACCCAAGGCCTATACAAGGCTTGTAACACTAGAGGACAACAGCAATTCAGGTAAGATCTAGTGGATCAAATAAGTTCCCTAGATTCCTTCTCCAAACTAGCAAAAAAAAGAGGGCTAAATGCATGGCTCAAATGGTAGAGCACCAACCTAGCAATCACAAGGCCCTGGGTTCAAACCATAGTGTGAGCAGATGCATGGAGGGGAGCAGAGAAGAGCAGAAGAAGGGAAGATCATATAATCTTTCATCCACAAGTGAATAAACATACAAAATTCAGTGGGTCTTATCCACAGAGAAATGACAGAAGAGGGACTGCCTTCAGGATATTACTGCTGACATTTATTAAGAATTTATCAGTAAAGACAGTTCTACATTTTCTACAGATGACTAGATTTCATCCTTCCAATGAGCTGACCTCTATCATTTGGTAATTACTACTGCTAATCTTCCCTTTTTGCAGAAAAGACAACTAAGACTCAAAGAATAAGTAACTAGGCAACATTAACCAGCTAATAACTGGTACATTGCCTGGAGCTATGTTACTTCAGAATCTATGTACTTAACCATCGCTACCCAGTAGAGCCTCAGCGCTGGCTTTTTAAGCCAAGCCTAATATAATGTTTCCTACAGTCTTGAAAACAAGTACAACTAATGAATCACATAAATCAGTTTTCTTTACTCTAAAATGACCATAGTAATGAAATAAGCCAGAATTCTTTTGTATTCTCTGATCATAAATGGAATAAGATGCTATTTTTTAGACCATGAAGAAAGTCTGACATCTTTTAAAATTCTACAAGAAATGTTATACAGAAATATCCTTAAGATTATGGCAATTATGGAGGGAATGAGCGGGAAAGAGGTAACAGCTGACACTAAGCAAAAGGAAAGGAATGTATATATCACCCAATGTGGAAGAAATAACTGTATTGTCAAAGCACATAGAATGCATAAACTTTATAGACCACAACAGACAATTTGCCCCACGAAGGTTAGAATGTGTTTGTGACTTTAACGAAGTATCACTATCCCACAATTCTTCGAAATTTGTGAAACTATGTAATCACTTAATCATAATAAAGAATTTGAAAAAAAGATTATGGCAATAGTCACATTTGGGTTATCTTGTTCAACCTTCCCTGATTTTCTGTGATTGCTCATCCCTAGGACTAAATAATCTGATGGGCAGAGTACTGATGCATTTCTGTCTTTTTCCAAGGAGTTTGTTAGAACTTTCTGAGGATGTGTCTGCTTTGCTCTCCAGAAATCAGAGAAAGGAAATGTGTTTTGTGGTTCATCAATGGCAGGGCATTCAGCGTGCTTGGCCACCCCATGGAGTGTGAGGGCTTTGGGCCAACTGAAGCAAATATTAATTTGGAAGAATGTCAGACACAGACTCCAACTGGCCAACTCTAATGGACAGGCAGTGGGAAAAAAGGGGCAAAGTCACAGCTGGGCTCCAAGCCAACAGCCTACTGTTATTTCTATCCCTCATGAGAGGCTTCTAGATTATTTCCTTCACAAAGACCTAGAAGTGGCTCCTTTGAAACCACCAAAGATTATATATATATGTATACATATACATGTATATGTATACATATATATATATATATATGTATATCAACTCCTAAAACAAAAACTTCTTAATGGTGTTTTTATTTACTTTATTAAAAATATAAATGCCAGCTCATCTAGCACATGTAACTTTGGCTTGGATTATGTGATGCCCAGAGTATAGATTCATCACTCTGGGGACATGGATTTTTTATTCCATTTCTCACCTGGATAAATCCCTAACATCCTTCAGTGGGGCTAGAGTATGTGCTCCACTTCTCCTGAAAATCAGGGACAAAGAGCATCTTACCGAGTTCTCCTTTAGCTGAAGCCCTTCCCCGTTGGGAAGGGAGGACCGTCTCTTGGAGTTCCTGTTTGGAGTTGAGGTAATAGCCCCGGCCTTCTTCTTTACAGTGAGCACCTCACAGCTGGCTTGGTCTTCATTGTGTGTACTTTTCCCAGCATTAATGACCCTGGAGAAAAAGCCGGAAAAGCTCATCAAGCAATGATATCTAGAAAGCTGAGAGGGTAGTCATTGTCTCTAGAATCAGTCAAGGCAAATCTCCACATCTGGCATAAAACGAAAACACTACTCATTTCAAAAGACCTTATGGCCGTGGTATTTTATATAATGAATAAACAGAGTTTGGAAAATGGAATTATATTGGCACCCAACATAACACATACCGAAGAAGTTGCTCTGAACTGAGTTCACCTTTATACGTATCTTAATAGATGCATCGACTCCATGAACCATTCTAGTCAAAACACGTCAGGCAACCAATCTTTCTGGCTAATTCAGAGCCTGAACCTTTTTTTTTTTTTTTTTGGCAATTCCACTAAAATCAGAAAGGCTGGTTCAGGGGGAATTCTGTTTCATTTTATTCAACTGATAAAGGAGCAAAGCCACCATCAATCTTATCAGACAACACAGTAGTAATGTATAGCACATTCCAAAGGTCAAGGGAACAGCAATCTATACCTCACTGCACCACACTCATTTTAACTTCACACAAGGGATTGAATAAGGCAAAATTGTGTTTTAAGTTAATTTTAACTCTCTTTTTCCCTCAAGAATAACACTCATCACACTGGGCTACAGAGCACTCTGACAGCAAAGACGCATACTAAAATATCATAGCAAAGTGACCCTTTTGACTTAATTAGCAATTTTTGTTCCAAAGGTTTTTGAGAAAGTGTTGTATTGCGTAGCCCAGGCTGGCTTCCAACTCCTACGTGATGGGATTACAGGTGTATTCAGGTGGGCTCACTAATTACTAAATGTTATAAGCAAAAGATGTTTCAGAAAAACATGCCACCTCATTCAGGTACCTTCTATGTCTCTCTCTCCTAGTGCAAATAGTTGTACTAAACAAAACTGCTTTGTTATTCTTATACAGTTTATTATAAATTTCAAGCATGTTTTATAAATAAAAATCTACATTTACTCATTTCACATATTGTACTATTTAAAACTTACAAGTAGATTATTGACTACAGTGTTTTAAAATTAATGCTTAGAGGCCTGTGTAAGGCGATGAGAATGTGTGTTGATTTCTGCAAAATCAGATGAGCCTTTGGTACTTATCATTTACTCTTAAGGACAGAAAGGTCAGGAAGAAGAGGGTTTTCTATCTACTTTCCTGCCTTACCTTCACTTTCTCTCCTCAAGGGAGAGAAAGCAAAATTCTGAGGATATAAGGCTATGTTCATTATGGTTACTAAATGGTGTCACATTTCCCACCAGAACTAATTTACTCCATGTGACACAAATGGAATTCAGAATGAAGTCTACATGACCCCCAACTCAACTCTGTCTTAGGATATTATGGGAATATCAACTTGTCTGTGCCAATCCAAACTGGACTCTGGTGATGTATGTAATAAGCAGAGTAGGGTAGCTCTGGTCCAGGCTTGAGAGGAGAGGAAATGGAGCTCTCGCCTTCCTTTTCTGGTTATTGAAGGGGTCTAGGAAGAGCAAAGGGGAAGAATGGGTGGTTCCCATCTGCCTCTCCTAGAGAAGCTCTTGTTTAGTTCAGGCCAAGTCACTGGAGGGAAGGGGGGGAGGTCTACAGCTGCAGCACATGATGCAGGATATGCATCTGTCAGGAAAATCCATATTAAGCCTATTCCCAGAGAAGTGAAGTAGGCAGGCAGGGGAAGGAGGCATGGAATACCATTCACCTCTCCTCAGTTATTGGTAATGAGTTCCAATCAACATGTCCGGGATGGACTGTTTACTGGAATGTCATGTTTATACCATGAAGGTCTTCGATACCAGGGCCTTTTCTCTAGGGAATGCTGAAGTGGAGGTTTGGCTGGAAAACCAGTTCATGACAGCCGCTCCTGCATACTGTCTTCTCTACAAGATCCCACTGCTATTTCTGGAACTTGGCACCACTTTCACCATCAGCACCTCACCTTGTGCTATAGTCATGTGTTTCAGGTTTTTGCGAATAACAACAACAAAAATGCATCACTGATTTCCAATAGTTACCTGCCAGGCTGACTCATCAACCACTGCTGTTTTCCAACAGTCTACAAAACTACTGTAATTTCTGTGGATATTAAACTTCAAAGTTGACCTTCACCAGGAGGTCCCACATACCTTATTTTATACATGAGAAACCCAGGACTCTGTAAGACTTTCACACAGCTAAATACAGCATTGCTGTAAACACACTTCAAAGTCCTAAGCTCCTTCTGCTTCCACTCTCAGGTTGTGTTATTTTCCTATTGTGCATCTATTCCTAGCACCTCATGGTTCAAAGGTCTGTACTGCAATGACTCATTAGAGCCACAGGGCTGTTAAAGAACACTTACTGGTGACTTTAGTTTGCTACTTCATATTCAATATGGCTCGGAAAAAGTATTAGTAAAATACCAAAAGTCACAGCTCTATAAGCCTGTTTAGTTAGACCTTAATTATCCAGATGATAAAATACTAATCTAATTAAATAACTTAAAGTCAACCCTTTCAAATAGCGCGTGCACACACACACACACACACACACACACACACACACACATCTTCTTTCCTTTTATTTTGTGGCACTGAGGATTGAATTCAGGATCTTCTGAATGCTAGGAAAGTGCTCTATCACTGAGCTATACCTCTATCCTCTTATCCTGTATCTTACAGTAATTTAGCTTCCATGCTTCATACAACCTTAGTAAAAGGTCCAATTCTTCTCAATTTACATTGTCTCTAAAAAGTTTAATCACTATCAACTTAAACATTCAACTTAAACATTGTTCTTCAAAGGCCAATATTCAATTACTAAATGTAAATTGGGGAAGACCTTATTTCCAAGCTGAGGAGCTTGGAAACTTTCCTTAGATGAAAACATTTTTATCAGTAGTTAGACATCTTGTCTTTTACTACTGGGGGTCACCAGGTAATTATTTTTTTTTTAACTCTACCTGCCTATAATGTTAAATTTGAAGACTTACAGCTGCCGAATCATGAATCATCTTACTTTTGGTGATCTTATTTTCCAATCTCCTATAAAAAAAGGAAAACATTTTCCTTCAAATTAAACCAGAGATAATAATTGTGGCTGTTACCAGTTCAGGCTCTCTCTTTAAAATATGGCACAAAGCAGGCGCTGTTGAATGAAAGAGGCAGAATAGACATTGCTACTTCTAATGGGGGAGAATAATATCTTAATGTGTTGAGAATTAGCTTTATGTGCCAGAGGCTGTGGTCAGCATTTCTTGTGTAATTATTTTGTCCTCTGGTCAACTCTGAGTTAGCAACCACTGGAAATATCTTTTAGAAGATAAGCACAGCTAGTGAGTGGAAGAGTTTAGCCAAGTTTCTTCTGCAAATCTATGTTCCTTAGCTATAAATTATGAAATTATTGAGTTGCTAAAATGTGTGTGTGTGTGTGTGTGAGTGTGTGTGGAGGGTTGGGATGGGGGTAGGAAGACTTTAGTCATCTAAGGAACTAGGTAATTTTGAAGGCTGAATTAAAATTCAGGAAGGAAAAAAATGGTGGAGAAGGGTAGCTATTGTCTCTTCAATACAGAAAGTTTATTATCCAGTTTTTCAACTCTGAAGATCAATACATTTGTTCAGGGAGAGAGACATGTGGCAAAGTTTGCTTTAACCTAGGAACCTTCTTTCAACCACACGTTTTTTGTTTTTTGTTTTCCTCCGTGTAAAAACAGGTAAGCTGTTTTTACTTCCAAGTAAAAAATTCCTGTGCATGTAAGTTTTAGCTCAAAGTTATGACCTAAATACCAGGTATGGTATGAACCTGATCATGAGGACATAAAAACAGCAAGGAATTCATTCTGTACTTCCCTCATGCCCTTGGGAAGCCTGTTTACCTTCTTTCTACTGGTGAAATAATGCTACTCACATTTTTTTTTTGTAATGGATTCCACCTGAAATTCAGAAAAATTTCTGCCTCTAATTGCAACTGTTTATTTTCTACGTTTTCACTTGCTCCTAAGCACGACTTTATTTACATTCATTGGATGGCTCCAATATTAATTATAAAATAACACATTCTCAACTAATGAGCTCTAGCCACCAAGTCCATTGGCAAAGAGAATTCATAATTGTCACAAAGGCCACTGGCTTGGAACCATTTTCAAAAGACACTTCATCAACAAAGACAACCACAGTTGATATTTTTTTTTGAAGGATTTCCACATGCCCATGTACCATGCTAAGTATCTTACAGGTGTCAAGTCATTAAGTACCAGCCCTTCCAACTTCAACTTAGTAGACTGCAGAAGTGGGAAAAGGGGCAATGGTCAGATGCAACTGGTTTTAGTGGGTTTTGGTGTAATGTCTAGCTCTAGTTGTGTGTTCCTGGGCAAGTTACTTTCAAAATGAGGAGAAGAGTCACTTCTTATCACCAGAAGTAGTGAGAATTAAATGCTATAGCATCAAATGCATTCAACAGTGCTTAGCACATAATGAACACTCAATATGGATTTAATAATAAAACACAAATACAAAGCCAGTTTTCTTTTCTTGTTCCCTAGGGACTTTGCACAGCGATGCAAGTTACCAGAAAATCTCCTCCACCCTACCACATTGTTCCTCTGCTGCCCCCAAAACATGGGCCACCTAGACATTCAGAGCCTTAAGGTGGCATGGGGACATTCAGTAAACTACTCATTCCTTTGAGCCCTGTTCTCAAGTCCCACGTGATGGTACAGAATACACAGAAAAAAACCCACACAGCTACAGATTTCTGTTCCTTTCTGCCTGTGGATGCCAAGTCTGGGCTCCCAAGTTCCTGGATTCACTCAGGTTCCAGAAAAAGACTGAATAAAGGCTTTGACTTTGTTTTTAAGAAGTTTTGAGTTCTGAAAAGTTTAGGCTGAAACATTTATATTAAGTGTCATTAACACTGCTGAGCAGGCAGTGATTATACTAGGTAAGGACAAGGTATTTATAAAGGCCATTAGATGATTTACTGATTCATAAATCACCGAGAAGCAGACGGAAAAA